CTGAGCACACACACACACACACACACACACACACACGTTGACCCCCACCCTAACCGTGGCCCCACCCTGCTGCCGTCCTCTGTCTGAACTACAGTACTGAAGACTAAACACACACTCAGAAAAGACACGTCGACTGACGGCTATTTGTCTCTGCCTACTGTAAACGCAGCCTCTGTGGTTCCCCCCCCCCTCTAATCTAACCAAAACAGAGTAAATAGAACTCAGTTAGCCGTTAGCCACAGAGCTAACAGTCTGTGTGAAAACAAATAAATAGAAGTGAAAGAAAATGGGCCTTACTGTTAGGTGTAACAACGTGAGATTGTGGCATAAATGGCTAAGAGTTAGCGTGTAGATTAAATCAAGCTCTGCTTTGTTCCTTTTCCAGATAATAACTCAGACCTGGGACATTTTTCTCCATCACTGCCTTTTGATAAAGTCATTTCTGTCGGAACACGTCAGGAATGCAGGTTACCCAGCATGCCTGGCATGAATCAATGTCACCTTTCATAGGTCTCAGACGTGAAGCAGAGCAGGGGAAACGACGGCCACAAAGGGCTCTTTCAGCAGCTCACAGCCTTTTCCCCACGCACTCTTCCTCTCACCCTTTTTCTATCCCCCCCCCCCCTCCTCCTCCTCCTCCATCTTCTCCTTAATGCCCCTCTGCTGCTCATCCTTCAGCCAGGCTTTATGAAGGGGTTATCGCTGCTGCTTGTGCTAAAAAGTAATGAGATCTGATAAAAGGAGCCGGACGTCGGCTCTTTTCTCGTCTGATGTTCTGATCTGATGTCGGTTTTTCTAGTTTCTACATGTAAAGTCTGCACAGAAACCACTTCTCCAACAAAAACTAACAGAGTTCATGTTTTTTTCTTTTATTTTCCAGCTCCACTTGCTGATTCATCTTGGTGGTACAGTGTCGTCCTTCATCTCTGAGGCTCCCTGATCTGTGACTTCTGTGAGTTCCACCCTTCACACACTCTTCTCTCTCCACCAGTTCTATCATCGGCCTTACAATTCCCATATGCCCAACATTCCGTGAACATGTTTGCGTTCAGGTCCTTGTGTAAACTGACCTACATCTGTGCTGATGTAAATCATCACACTGAACCCTGTGTACGACACCTGTGGGTCAGAGCCTGGAGACTGACTGATAACAGAACAAAACACATATATTTTAAAAGACTAATAGTCTAATTGAGCCGGCACAAAATAGCTAGTTTATAACTTGACATGGACAGATACTAATGAATATAGCTACAAAATAAATAAACAAAAACTAGCATAAGAAATGTAAAATTAATCCAAGAAAAGTTAGCCAAAAACTGTTAGCCTTAAATGTATATATGACTAAACTTGGCTTTAAAATGTTGTGCTAAAAGCTGACCACATTAATCTAAATACTCTGTAATTAATTTTGGTATTAGCCCAAAATTAGCTAACATACGAAAAAAACTTTGCAAAGACTTTTATAGAATTTTTAAAGTCTTCTGGTTAGCAAAAGTCAAAATGGCTGAAATAATATCTGTATTTTATTACAGTAAGAAGCTAAATGCTAACCTTAGCTACAGTTAATTAGCTTTACTTTGTCTAGCAGGGGTTAACGATAATTTGAATTTCCAGGAAAATGTAAACCTAAAACATATGAGTTTAATGTTTGGATCAAAAGTCACTTTTTTGGTGAATTTACTGCAAATGGAAAAAAGATACAACTGCTCTCTGTAATTCTAAACATACGGTTTACATTTTGATGTTGGCGTTCAGGTCCAGATCTAAACTCCTCTTCCTCTCACAGAACAAGACTCTGGGCCAAACCTGATTGGCTGATGGATTCGACTTGGTATGAGATGAAGAAGATGAACTGACACCATCCAGACATCGCCCTGTATCTGCCAGACTCTGCAGACGGTCAGTGCCTCAATTACCCTTTTCATAAAAAGAAGACACTTTATTTATCAAGACTTTATTTAAATTTTTACAATAAGTTAAAACCTTTTTTTTAATCTGTCCTAAAATCCATTCACATACATCTCTTAGGAAAAACACAGGAAAAAAACAATTCCAGAAAAGCAACTGAATGTCGTCATTTTCAAAGACAGGAAACAAACCTTTTTAGACTAAAGAGGATTTAACTTCATCCAAACAGAATTCATATTTGAATCCTGTTTGTTTTTTTAACCTTTTGTGCAAAATTACAAAAATATATTCTTTTTTTCCCCACTGAACACAAATCAAACCTCTGTGATGGCTAAGAATTGTTGAACCAACGTTGAACCAACGCTGAGTTTCTACAGTAAGAATGCAATAAAAGACGTCTTTTCCTGAAATATAAAATAGTTTCCTAGCTAAATGCTAGCAAAAGCACCAGAGTGTAAGTTAGTAAACAAACATGGCAAACTACGGCATGTGTTAATTCCTGAGATCAGAGTTTTGAAACCATAACCAAAAAGTTGAAAATGAAAGTTAAGTATTTTACCCTGCCGGCATTTCTGTCATTTCTTTACCTTAAAATCATGAATTTTCTTGTTCATGTCTTTTCTCGTTTTCTTCTACACTCTGTTTGACAGAGGTTTTTTTCTTTCTTCTTTTAAACAGGACAGGACAGAAGAAGAGGTCAAAGGTCAAAAGACTAAAGTACAGCAACGTTCAAGGATCGATGAAGGACACTGCGATGTATCTGGTACCGTTGGTTGTTGGCAGACCTTCGTGCAGGTGAGTCAGTCGTCCCGGGTGCATGAAGCTCCAGCCTTTTCTTGGTGACTCTATGGAGCAGTTGTAACGGTGGAACCGACAACCTCCGCCCTAGAGAAATAAGATAGAGAGGAGAAAGACAAGTGCATTTATATTTATATTGAAATACATCACAGATTCAAATAGAAATTAAGACTATTTTTAAAATTTAAGAAAACTTTAGAAATGTCCAATAACTGTTCAAACAGCCAAGAAGCAAAATTCCTAAGAGTAAACTGTAGGACAATATATAAGACAGAATAAAGGTAAAAAAAGATATGTTTCAGCTTGAGTTAACTTAATGAAGTAAATTTAAAAAGTAGTTAAATATACAGTACTTTAAACTTCCTGAAGTACAGTATGTTGTATTTTACTATTTATGGATAACTTTAGTAATAAAGACAAAAAACAGTCTATATTAAGTTAGATATAAAATGTAAAACAGTAATGTCTATAAATAGAACAAAATAACATAACTCAATACTACTGAAATACTGAAAACATAAACTTAAACTTAGGCCAACAAAACAAATCTAGTCTGGCTGAAATGTTAAATAATCTGTTCACTGTTCCATCTCTGTACCTGAAAGTCTGAGTCTTTACTATTGAGGGCGATGTTGATGGTGAAGGTGGAGGAGTCGTGGTGGGGCCTCAGGTACGACTGCCGTCCGGGCGTGTACTTCACCACAAAGTTCATGATGGCGTAACCCTGCAGTACAGACGGCACAAAGAAGTCAAACAAACTCAACTTTTCACTGAGCACATATTATCACAGCGTGTCAGTAACAAGTGCGTACTAGTCCCTGAAGAAGGAGGCAACCGTTTCTGCAGCTTTGAGTAGCAACACTAGTTTAAATGCATTCATTCAAGTATCAGAACCGTACCAACCCGAGCTTTTACCTCTGTAAAAACATCGTGACCAAAGATAAAGACGTGTGGACGTAGCTACTGAAAACTGTTTTTAGCTGAAATGCTAACGGCTCACATGAACGTTTGTAGCACTGACCTTGGTGTAATATCCTGAGAAAACCTTTAGCGTGACGGGCGATATGAACTCCCTGATGAAGTGCAGCCACTCTTTATCAAAGCCGATCTGTTTCATGTGGATGTCGTCCGTGGGAACTGTCTCGTAGCCTCCTGCGATACGTTTATCCTGGAAAGAAAGAGCAAAAAGAGTCGTAAAATTAGGGACAGAAGATATGACTCAGCATCCTGTGTGAGAGAGAGAGACTCTAGTTTGAGAAGTTCTGGCCATGATGCTGATGATGTTTCCAGAAGTTCTGGCCATGATGCTGATGATGTGTCCATGTGTCCATGTGTTCTGTCTTCTTCTTCTTCTTCTTCTTCTTCTCTCGTCTGCCTGCGCCGCTGCTTTATGACCCGGCGTGTGTTTTTCAAAGTTTAGAGTTAATCTCTCAGGCTCAGACTTTGGGGGAACATTAATTACCAATTTCATACGACATAAAACAGCACATGACACAACATCAGGCTGATTTTACTGCCACACAGTGGACCTGCAGATGATGGCGATAAAACGATGCGTTTGGACGATATGTTGTCGCAGACAGTTAACGACCTGACAAATATATATAAAACTGAAACAAATACTTTTATCACATCTACAGAAAAAAGTCATTTGAATGGACCACTAGAAGTGTATGGTGTTAAAGGTTAAAGTCAATGAAGCCTACTGCTACAGCTACACGTTTGAATCTAATGTAACATCTTGCATTTTGTACTTTTTTTTACTGTAGTTCCTAGAAATTAATACAAGTTTTCCTAACGTTAGTAAAAAGTTAGCTGAATGTTGCACAGATGAAGTGCCAATAAATAACTCCACATCAATGCATAAGAATTTGAAATATTTTTGCAGCTGTGTTACTGTCTGCCCTGGTGACGGTCGACTTGACTCGGCCGTCACACGTGTGTCTACAGAGTGTTGACCTTGACCCTGCGGTCAGCCTGGGTTAACGACACTCACCTCATGTCTTCCTCCAGACCATGAACCGTAGTGCTCCATCTCCTCCACCAGCTCGTCACAGGCCTTCTCTGAGAAAACTGGGAACCAGTAAACATCTGGACAGGGCTGCAGTTCACACACAAAGACAAACACCTTTAACTCCAGGCTCTGTGTCTGATGTGATGCCCAGATGTTGGACCATGATGTCATCCTTTTTTCTAGTCTAAGATTCGTCTTCAATATGATGTCATCCTTTTTTCTAGTCTAAGTCTACGATTCGTAATCAACACAAACACCAACCTCCTCCAAGTAGTTTTCAGTGAAGATTCGAGTGTAGTTTTCGTTGATGTATTTCTCCTTCCAGTCCTACAGGAAGAAACAAAAGATTAAAGCTCTTTGTTCTTCTGACCTTTCCCGTCTCTGATTCCTCTGATGGTTAATCCCCTTCACTGTGACGCACGGCCCTACAGGCCAAACACACTCCATCACCTCCCTTCATCAGTTAAGAAACTTTATCAAACTGAATACTTCAAGATATTCAAACCCAAATCTGTAGAGTTTCCATTATGGCTCATAACCTCAGTGGGTGATGGCTGCTGATCTGACTAGTCAGAGAATTCAGATCATGTGCGACTGAATGTCGACACTCACTGCTGAAGTTCTTGGTAGTTTGTTGTGCTAACGGAATATAAAGCTAAGATAAAAGCTAAGCAAGAACCAGTTTCGGTCCTAGTCGTAGGTACGGAACAGTAGCTCTGTAGATGTTAGCTAAAAAAAGAAGACTTTACACTAACAAATAGCCGAACATTTCATATAAAAGTTAGCAAATCTAGTTCAAACATAGACAAAATGCATATCATATCCTTTAAAAAGGTAAAGAAAAATTAGGCTTAATCTTTTAAAATTTTAGTTACTAAAAAAAATAGACATTTACCTAATTACTAATAAGCTAGATGTCAACAAGATATAAATGTGGACGTTAAATGATACTGAAAGCAAACAAATCAATCAATCAAGAACGAGCTGTGATTCTACCAGGTAAAAGTTAGCAGAAACATAGCAACACAGCTACAAATGAGCAATGAAGAAAATAATAGCATTATGCTATAGGCTTGTTGCTTCAGAACATTAGCCAGTAGAGGCAACAAGTTAGCCATAGATAAATAGCCACATGGCTAACAACAACACGTTCCCCTCTTCCCTGAGACTCATCCCTGTGTGTTCCAAACCTCATCATTTGGGAGTTTTCTACAACAACAAAGTCTCAACATGACAAATCACATCTCTACACATCTGCATCTCCAGGTTCTGGCTGCTTAGAACGAGGTTTCTTTTCACATGTCAAGAATAACGAGGACTCACCACAGGGTTTTCAAAGATCTGCCACAGGTCGCTGTTGTAGTGGGAGGTGTTGTAGTTGGCCGTGGAGATGAGCCGCCCGAACTCATGACGGTTTGTGATGTACATGAAGACTCCCTGCAGCAAACAGGGAAACACATTCAAGTCAGTTTCATGGATGGAGAATGGAAGCTAAAGTAAGTGATGTGGCACGGCTAAGGTTAGCACTGGCATCACTGCAGTCAAAACAACACAGTCCACTTGTGGCAAATTACTAAAAAGCTTCATTTGCACACAATAAAAAAAATAAAAAATAAAAAAAATGAATGAGGTCTGATTTGAGTGTGTTTTTGACACACTGAAATCATGGGTCAATCTGGGAAAGAACCAAAAAAAAAAAACAGAAACAAGTGGCTTATAAATAATCTGGGATTATTTATGGTTTTATTGGAGGAGGACTGCAGGGCATTGACGGGGAGGGGGACGGGCGGAGTGGG